GGCTGGCATGTGGTGCTGGGGGATTGAACCGTGGTCCCTGATGCTTTGCCAAGCTTGTTCTAAGTAGGTGCCTTAGACCACTGAGCCATCTCTCCAGCCCCTATTTTTAAACTTTTGATGCCCAAACATCTTTTGCAGAGTAAGGTCCAAGCCTTGGTGATTGTGGTCCTCCATATGAGGCCTTTGCCCCTGTCTGCAGCTCTAGGTGTGTTGCATTATTTACACTACAGCATATAGTTTCCTAAAGGTGCCCCTGATACACTGTTCCTGTTTAAGGGATGCCCTCTCTATCCTCATTTGCCCTGGGACTTCCTACCTGTCTTGAAATCCAGCTTGCTAGTTTTTGTTCTCTTTTTATTTTTTGTATTTTAGTAAAGATCTACAGGGTCTCACTACCTAGGTTGGACTCATAGGTTGGACTCATAGTGATTCTCCTGTGTTCAGCCTCCCAGAGAGCTGGAATTACAGGGATGTGCCACCACGCCAAGTCTCAATCACTATAGCATGATGGGGATCGAACTCTGGCCGTTGTGTCTGTGTCTGCCTAAGCAGGCGCTTTAACCTGTTGAGCTATTAGGCCGGCCCTTACGTCACTAGTTTGGACTGGGGATGCCTCATCTCTCATCTCTGAAGCATACTTGTTTCACCATCTTCTGTTCCTGCTCCACAGCCTAATGCCTAATATGTTTGATGCAGAGTTGTCACTTAATAGGTGTTTGTTGCACTGGGTATGGTAGGGGAAACCTATAATCCTGGTTACTCCGGAGGCTGAGGCAGGAGATCACAAATTCAAGGGCAGCCTGAGCAATTTAGTGAGATCCTTTCTCAAAATGAGTTTTTTAAAAAGCTGTGGGTGTATTTTAGTGGTACAGTGCATGTGTAGCATGCACGAGGCCCTGAGTTCATTCCCCAGCAGTGCAAAAAAACCAAATGAATACACAGAAAGTAAAAGTTGTGGCATTTCAGTTAGAAGGGTGGCATGAGCAGACTAGGGACTGTCAAGGCAATAGTGGCTATCTACAGCTTGCCTAGCATCTAAAGGAGGCCCAGGGGGTCGCATGGGCTAAGTCTGGAGGAGAGTTTGTGCTGGCTCTCAGAAAGCCTTGGGAGCCAGGCCCAAGACTTGTGCAGGTGTTCACTTAGCAGAACTGGGACAAAGATGGGAAGATGGATTGGAGAGGGCAGTCAAGGGTTTGAGCAAACAAGGAGATCTCAGCTCTGTTGTACAGAAACATACCCAGGGAAATGGTGACCAGACAAGGCCACCCACCATCAGCAGTAGAACTAGGAGCTGAACTCATTCTGGACCTTAACACATCCAGAGACATTTTTCTCTGGGGTCCTGGGGATTGAACCCAGGACCTTCATTGTGAATTACATCCTCAACCCTCGTCTGTCCTCCTTTTTATTGGAGACAGGTTGACCAACGAGGTTCAAATTTCCAATCACAAGCATCACACTCATATGATTTTGGAGCTCTGTGTACTCCAAAGAGTGATGCTATGTGCTTATGAAGGGGGCATCAGGGTGTCCGCAAGTGGTAAGGATCCTTGTCAGTCAGGAGAGGGTAGGTTGTTTTAGACACAATCTGTAGTGGGTTCTTGGCTGTAGCAATGTCAAGGGGAAACTTGGGAACTCTAAGGACAGAGGACAAGATGACTTCACTCAAATGGCAGCAGGCAGGAGGCCTCAGTTCCTTGCCACATGGGCCTCTCCATGGGGTTGTTCACAACAGGGCTCTAGCTTCCCCCAGGGCAAATGATGAAACACAGAGAGAGGTGGAAGCCTCATCCTTGCCATCACTTCCACCTTCATTGGTCCCACATAGCAGCCATGACTCGCAGTAGGTAGGGACAAGATACCCAGAATGCTAGGCAGGGGTAGGTGGAGGCCACTTTCCCAAGTTGCTACAGGCAGCCTGCTCTTCTAACCCTCTCCTCTCCCTCTGCTGAGAGAAACAAAGTCAGCCAACCTTGTGAGAGGTGCAGAGTCAACACAGATGGTGGCGTTTTGCAGCAAGGATGCCCAAGGCCTGAGGACACTGTGACTCCCCCACCCCGCACCCCCCCCCCCCCCCGCAGCTGGCTGAATGTGCAGCAACCGCAGCCTTTAGCCTACAGGGTGGACTACAGGCATTTACAGGCCAGCCTTGGCTGTTGTACAAGGCTGCCCTGCCTTTGCAGCCTGATGTGGTCAGTTCAGAGAAGAAGCCAAACCCTGCTAGGGGTTATATCCTCCATCTTTTTTTTTTTTTTTTTTTTTTGGAATCGGGGATTGAACTCAGGCCCTTGCACTCGCCAGAGAAGCACTTATTCCACTGAGCCATCTCCCCAGCCCCCCTCAATCCTTAATTAATATATATTTTAAAATTCTGAGACAGAATCTTGCTGAATCACTTAAGTTTCTGAGGCTGGGCTTCAGCTTGAGATCCTCCTGCCTCCGCCTCACAGAATGCCAGGGTTACAGGTATGCACTATTGTGCCCAGGTGTCTTCTGGGGCTTCTAACTGAACAACTCAGTCAAGGGCTGCCTTCTTCTGACAGAGCACCTGGAAGAGACTTCCACCAAGACACCTGGGCACGCAAGCCCTAGCACCAACCACCTCTCCCTGCCAGGCAGAAGAACGTGGGCAGGCCACTCAGGCCTGCCCTCCCCTCCTCACCGCGCCAAAGAAACCAAAGCCCACACCAAAGTATCAGAAACGTGTCTTCTTTTCTTTTAATAGTAAACCTCTTTACAACAAATATAGTGAAAGAGTTTTCAAACAAAACTCATAAGAATCTCGAGGACTTTGTCTTTTCTTATTGTGTAGAGTACTAAGAAAGCATCACCATACAGCACGAAAGGAAATATTGAAAACAAATCAACAGCCACACACTTGGACTCGCCCTGCCCAGGACCCAGGCGCCCCAGGAGTGTGGGTGATTGTCGGGCTTGGGGGTGGGTCACTTCTTCAGCCCACCCACTCCTCCCTCCCTCGTCCCACCCCCCTCCCACCCTTCTTCTGGGACTTGGATGGGGACAGCAGAGAATCCAGATTCTCCACAGGCCATCCCCACCTCCTGCCCCCATACAAATCCCAGTCCTTCTACCAATAGTTGTGGGGGGGGGGGTGCAAGGCCAAGAGGGAGATCAAGGAATTCCCAGGCTCCAGGTCTCCCCTCCATGAATACCTAACTCCCCTACCTCCTGGGAATCCAAAGAGTTAGTTAAAAATATATAGAGATATAGATATTTCTAGATACACTTTTACATCATTTCTGTCTCTCCAAACAAATAAATAATCAGCAAAAGAAGGTGCATTACTTCCTTCCTGTCCGAAGGGGGAGGGGCGGGCAGGGCTGAGTCAGTCTGCTCCTTGCTGCACTGTGGGGAGGTGTGTGTTCCACTGAGGCAGGCGGCCTTCTGGCCCACTGTCCCTGAAAACTGTGGGAACCTGGGGAGCGGAGGGACATGGATGACTCCAGTGGTTACTTTGGCGACTGCCCAGTCCTTCAGAGGGAGTGGGTGGAAACAAATTTGGCTTGTGAGAGGAAGAAAAAAGAAGTCCCTACTTGAGGTCTGAGCTAGCCAGGAGCCCCTACCAAAAGAAACCTTGGGGTACTGACTGCAGAAATGTCCCATATTCATTCACAGACTAATCCCTGCTGCCAGGGACAGAGAAGGACACACACACATCCACACAGGGTAATCAGAAGCCAGGTCTGCCCTTCCGAGCAGAGGGCAAAACCGGCAAATATTGCACCGAGAACTGCAGGGCCTCACCCCCACTCTGGGGTCATGGTGGCCAAGTTCTGCTAGAAGGTGGGCAGACTGGGGATGGGGGGGTAGCCTGAGAAGAGAAGGCCAGTCATGCAACACTTAGTGAGCACCTATCAGCCATTCAGCATCACTGAATGCCTATCACGTGCCAGGTCCATCCTGCCTGCCTGCAACACCCTGGTCAAGTCCCATTGATTCCTGAAATGGCCCTAGGAACCTGGGGAAGGCTGGACATTTTGCATCCCTGCTGGCAGCCCACTGAGTCTGAGGTGGTAAGGAAGGACCACTGCCTGGTGGAGTAAAAAGCCTTGGAAGAAGAATTAGAATTTTTCTCTGAAAGTGGGAGCAGGTGCTCTGGGAAAGGGCACTGTGTGTCAGGTGTGGGGGGTCCAGCGGACAACTGTGCCGAGAGGCCATGGTCCCAGAGGAAGGCAGCCCTGACAGGGAAGGGTGCAGAGAGAAGCAAAGAGGGCCAAATGCCAGCTGCCTCCAACTGCAGGATGGAAGCCAGAGCCAAGGGCAGGAACAGAGGGGAGAGAGGGACACAGAGCTGGAAGCCAGGGCAGTGGAGCTGAAGAGTCACTATCTCTTTGGAAACACACCAGGCCATCAGACACAGAGCTGTGCTCAGAGCTCCTGTCCCACAAAGATTCAGGAATCTACCCCCCTCCCCCGCTCAGAGGGACATAAAGGTACATTGCACACAAGTGTGCACGCACGCACACGTGCAACACATACATACTCCAACACAAAGGTACACTGGGACACAGAAATACCAGAGGCCCTCTCCAACATGCCTGAGCACATGTAGCCACATACACCTCTCTGGCCCTGGTTCCTTTCCTGTGTCAAGTGCCAGAATACTGTGAGGATGGGTCAGCAGTAGGCACAGATACCTGTTGCATGGGGCCTGGTCTAACACTAATCTCCGACAGGAGTGCTGGGGCACCGCCCCCTTGGGCCAAGCAGCTGGGCATGTGTGGAGGAATGGCCAGAGTCCTGCCAGCCTGCCCTTGTCACCCTCCCAGCCAGGCAGGGATATCAGTGGGAGTGGAGAGCACAATGGGGTTCCACCCCCTCCAGGCTGGTCTCTGATCCAGCCCAAGTCATGGGATCCATTCTCTGCCTCTTGGGGCATTGGGCTCCCTATGGTGGGGGCAGTTGAGGGGAAGGGAAGGATAGGGAGGACAGGGGAGGGGAGGGAAGGGGAGGAAGAATAACAGCAGAAGAATCTCGTCTGTACAGTACGGGCCATTTGAGTCATTATTATTACAATATACTTTGACAAAAATAGAATCTCATTTCATATCAATACAACAACAACAACAACAAAAAAGTTTCCTGGACTGTTACACCGCTAATGTTTTCCAAAGGTCACTATATACAATTACAGTAGCCAAGAGGGGCGGTGGGACGTGGCCTGGAGGCAGTGGGACAGGAGGTAGCAGACAGTGAGGGTGCCAGAGCAGGGAGGAGGGCTGGGAGCAGGCACCCGGAGGCGGCTTCCCTTGGGGAGCTGAACGCTGCCCCACCCCACCAACCAGCTCCCTAGGGCGGGGTGGCGTGCATGCAAGGCAGGGGACGCCCTCCCACACCTGCTCTTTGTGCCCAGCCCCAGAGCACCTCCCTGGAGCTCTGGCAGGGCCAGCTTGACAGGGCTGGTCTGCTGAGGTTGGCGCACTATTGCACTGTGTATCCTAGAGAAAAGGCTGTGGATGGAGGGGCCTGCGCACCCTCACCCAGCCCCTCTGTCCTCCTTGCGCCTCACCACTTTTCTCCCCATATGTGCTTCGAGAGAGGCCACCCTCAAAGCCCTGCCCCCAGCCTCAGGTCCAGGCAGCCTTCCCAGCCCAGAAGCTCAGCCAGCACCCATACAACTTGGGGGTGCAGCACACAGAGCCAGCGAGTGTGTTGTGTAAGTGTGCAGGGCGCCTGAGGGTTGGGCTTGGCTGGACAGGCGCCTGTGGGGAACAGCCCCGAAATGGAGACCCTCTGCTTCCTCCGATTCCCTTGGATATAAGTCACCCATCAAGCTACCTTTGGGGTTTTAGTCTACTGGAGGGGTTTTTGTTGCTTGGTAGTTTTTGGTTCTTTCCCTCTATCTGGGAGATGGGGCGGGAGGGCTCCACATGCAGGGCTTGGCCAACTGTCCTTTCCCCAAGGCCTACCAGGCCCCCCACCCTTCCTGCAGCATATGTGTACAACGTGCAAAGTGTCCCCCCCTTCCCGCAAAAAAGAGCCCCCCACCAGTGAAAACGGTGGGGTTGAGAGGGGATGAGAGCATCCCTCTCTCTAAAGCGAGAATCCAAATTAAAAAAAATATAATAATAATAATAATAATATAATAATAATAATTATACACAAATGTAACCATCAACAGGACACGGAGCACAAGAAAGGAAGTGGGGGTCGAGCGGGAGGAGCCCAGGACAGGGGTGGGGGGGTGGTGAGATTGTCAACTCTTCATCGGGGAGGCTGGGAGGGGAGTGGGAACATCACTTTAATGTCTGTGAAGAGAGGAGATGGAGAAGGGGTGTGAGGGGGACCCAGCTGCTGAGGCTCCCCACTCCCCTTTCCCATGGGCCGATGCTAGGGGTGGGCCAGCTGTGGGGCATTGAGCAGACCAGTGCTGGGGCAGATGAGCCTCTCCTGAGATGACAAACGGACTGAGGGAGGGCTGGCTGACCACAGCCTCTCAGGAGAGAAACAGGTCGGGGCACACGAGGCAGCCCTGGGTGCAGCACACACTGGCAGGCAGGGGAGGTGCTACAGTACCCAGGCGTCCAGCCGCATCCTCTTCACAGCCGAGCCCTCAGCCTCGGATTCTGGGGCCGGACGCAGCAGGCCCAGTGTGGGCCCGAAGTCCCCCCGGCCATCATCACGTTCTCCTGTATCATAGGATCCTCCTGCAGGGCTACTGAGACCATCACCGGGCTCTGGGCGGGCAGCTGGGAACACCGCTGCCGGAGGGGGAGGCGCAGGGCTGCGCTCTCGGCTTGGGGACACCGGTTCTGACTTGATGCTGATGTGGGGGTGGGTGGTGACGGTGAGGGCAGCGCCCACATGGGGCAAGGGGCTGCCTGGGCTGGAGGCAGGCAACAGCGATTGGGGACAGGGGACAGAAAGAAAGAGTTGGGTGATTGAAAAGCCACAAAGGAAAAAAGAAAGACAGTGGGGGACAAGGATAAGAGGGAGACACAAGATGGAGAGAAAAGAGAAAAAAGTGGCATTAGTTCTAGTTCTGTCCCTGTCATCTATCCCCTACAGCCCAGGTCCAATCCACCCCGCACCCTGGGGCTGGATGGACAGAGAACTGTGTGAGTCTCTTGGGCTGCCACTTAGTGCCACACTGCCTCACGGGTATTCTTCCCACTCCTCCCCGCAAGCGCCCATGGGAAACCTCCCAAGGACTCACATGAGGTTGCCAAGAGACACGGGGACCAGGTGGGGCTGCTGAGATGGCTGCGGAGGCTGCGGAGGCTGCGGAGGCTGTGGCGGCTGTGGCTGTGGCGGCTGTGGCTGTGGAGGCTGCGGCTGCTGGGGCTGCTGCGGCTGCTGCCAGGCGGTGACGCTGCCTAGTGACAGCCCCCCTGGCGAACTGAAGGCCGGTAGGGAGGAGAGCTCTGCACTGGTCAACTGGTAATCTGCAGCAGGAGAAGGCAAGGAGGAGCTTGGAGAGGGAGCCACTAGGAGGACCATGGAGATAAGGGGACAGGTGGTGTTTAAAGACAGATGTGAGGAATTTGAGAAACTCATAAAAATTCAGTGAAGATGGCACTCAGAAAAATGCAAGTCATAATAACAGGAGGTGCTGTATTTCTAATAGGATGAAGAGAATAGTTTTTAAAACAGTGAACTTTAAAAAGAAATCATGTGTAAGTATCAGTTTTATAATGACAATTATTGAGGGATATGGTGATGCAGGCCTGTAATACCAGCATTCAGGAGGCTGAGGCAGGAAGGTTACTCAAAGGTGTATACCCTGGGTGAGTTCAAGGCTAGCCTAAACTGTACATCAAGAAAAAAAAATATATAATGTCTGAAAAAAATATGTATGTATTATATAATTACAAAACAGAAAATAAGAGGAAAGGGACAGTAGGGAAAGTCCAATTATGTCTGTTATCCCTCCAACTGCTAAATCTTTCGAGGCAGCAGGAGCCATGGAGGCCAACAGGCAAGCAAGGGTGTCCAGAGAGCAACGTGGCAACTACCCTTCCCCAAATGTCTTCAGGCTATCGCTAACCTAAGAGGGGGCTCGAGGCACTGTGCCCACAGACAAGAAGACACGCAGGCCTTCCTGGGCCCAGACTGAAGCCCCAAGCTGAGGTTCTGGACAATGCCCCAGGAGGGTATTCATTCCTTTCTAAACTGTCTATCCATGCTGCCTGAGCCTTCTATTCTCCTAGCCAACCTGGGTAGGTGGCTGAGGGGGCCACAGCTGCTGAATATATAAAAAGGAGGTTGATTTTATTTTACATGCTTTGGAGTTATTGTCGGAGAACTAACCAGAAGCAGTTTCTAAACAAAAAAGATGACATGTAGTAAAAGGACAGTAAATGTTGGGTCAAAATGGAAATAAGTGAATAAATAAATAAATAGTCTATCCACAGAGGACACTGAGGCACCTACACTGCCTTAGAATAGATGGAGCCCTAACAGGTTCACAGAATGCACAGCTCCATGGGTGCATCCTGTTTGGGATACTCACTGTGAGAGCAGAGGGAATGCTGGGAAGGGGCATATCCCAGCATCCCCACCTACACCACGAGGCTACTAGTCCAGAGGCAGGGACTCCAGCCCTCTGTCTATATAAGGAGCACAGGAGGAACGTGCATGACGCAGCAGGGAAGTTAAAGGGCTGAGCTTCGAGGCCAATGTCACATGACCCGAGGCAAGCTGCTTACTCTCTGCTCTAGGGAGGCAGGGGCAGATACTTCCCACAGGCACAGCTGCTGGCAGGACACAGGGAGCTCCACACCGAGGCATGCAGAGCACCGTCTGGCTCAGATTTTCCTAGCAGTACTTTACTGATGAAGCAGCTGCAGCCTCAGGGGTGTGGACCAGCCTGTGTCGTGGAGCCAGTGGCAGGGCTCAGAGGGCTCTCTGTGACCTCTAAACCTCATTCCAGAGGTGGCCCATGCTTGCATCTCGTTTCCTGATGTTTACTGAGTTCTGTGATGCTTATATTTAAGAAGCTGAACAAAGTAAAAAATGGGCCCAAGACTGAGTATTTCTGACTTATATTTGCAAACAATGAAGCCAGGCCCAGAACAGTGATGTGCTGGTGTAGCTCAGGGAGTGGACATCAGAGACCCCACTCTCAGTCCTGCTTCTGCCCACCAGATTCCAGTTGGAGTCTACCCAGAGGACACATAGCTCCTGGAGGCCAGGAGCAGCACCGCCGCCCTGAGCCACCACAGCGAACCTGAGTAGCTAGTATCAACAAAGGGCTGGGCCCACCTCTTGCCCCAGACAGGACCGCAGCCAGATCACCCCAGCCGGAACTCGAACTCACAGCAAATGTAAACAGCATTGTGCTCACTGGGCTTAGGTTACACACCTAGGGTCACCTGAAAACACTTGCTATCTACCTCAGGTCTGCTTAGCTACTCCTGCCCCCTCTCGAGTGGGTAGGAGAAGGAAGGGTCCTGAAGGCTGTGCTGAGCACCTGTCTCTGGTCCACCAATAGAAACTGGCTTCACAGGCTGCAGGACCAGAAGACCATGGAAACCTGTCATGGTAGGTTCCCATCTCATAAGCAGCTTCTAACAAGGGCTGCCCGCCACCACCCATCCCACCTGGCCTGGCACTGGGAGCCAGCCTTTCTCGTTGCCCACTAAGCCTTTGCCACCCACTGCTTTGAGCACCAAGGCTCAGCTCTCAGGGTGCCAGGCCAAGGCTGAAGACTTAAGACTGTGGGAGTGAATGTGCACAGCCAAGGGACAAGGGGCTCACAGACCTGCATGCTACAGCCTGTCCCCTCAACATGAATCAGGTCCTTCCGCTCACTCAATTTTCAGCAGAGGGGCCTTATACTGCACAGGGCTGGGAAGGAGGGAGGGGCAGATCTGTGTGGTCTGTACTGGTGCCTAATGCCTCATGTGCTTCCACTCTGGGATGGGGGCTACAGTGGAAGCAGCTAGGGAGTCCTCTGGTAGAATCTTCCCTTGTTGTAGAAACAGCCCTATGCAAGCCACACCTAAGAGAACTGAGGAGAGGCAAACGGCCCCTCAGGGCTAAGAACCCAGCTTCTCCAGCCAGGTATGGGCTGTGACATGATGTAAAAAGCACTTCCCTCACTGGGAAGTCCCTCCTGACACAGCAGCCTGACTGAGATTCTGATAGACTACACTAGCAGGTGTAGGTGGGAGTGAGTGACACAAGCCAGCACAGCCCTGGGGACTCAGGACAGGCTGGGCACTAGGTGTACTGTCTGAATTCTGCCCAGCGGCCTCTTCCAAGTCCTCAAGTGCTTCCTCTCCTACAGATCTGCCTCCTCAACCTTCACCAGTCCTCTGCCTCTCCTCCTCATGGTTCTCCCACCAAGCCAACACAAGAGTACCTTCTCCCTCCTCTGCCCTTGCCAAGGAAGCTGGCAAATCCACCTGGCCATGCTGCTGCTTGGGCTTCCTCCTCAGCCCATCTCCTCTCTCATCAGGCCTTCATTCTCAGGGAAGCCTTTTCTTTTTGTGGGGGTGCGGAACCAGGGATTGAACTCAGGCCCTTGCACTTGCCAGACAAGCGCTTATTCTACTGAGCTATCTCCCCGGTCCTCAGAGAAGCCTTTTTAGCACTATGTCTGCCTGCCCATTCTCCTCAGCTGGCATCTAGGGCTTGGCAGCCTGCTGTGCCTACTTCTGTCCCATCTCCCTCCAATGAGGCTCCCTGTGACAGGGCCTTACCTCCACTCAGCTCTACATCAGAGATAAAGAATGCCTACGCAAGTTGGAGTTTCAGATAAAAAGAAAGTTATGATGAATGGCTATCATAACTTTCTACAATAGCCCAAGCTGTGTTTCCCAAACACAGCATGTATTTTTATTTTTCCTTTTATCCTCTTTTTCTCTTTACTCACCCCAAGTTCACTCTGCTGAGTAGTTTTTCTCACTCTTTACTTTATTTTTTAATTTTTAAAAAATTTTGTGTGTGTGTGTGTGTGTGTGTGTGTGTGTGTGTGTGTGTGTGTGTGGCCAGCTCAGCCCACCAGGGGGCGGGGCTGGCTGGCATGTGGTGCTGGGGGATTGAACCACCGTCCCTGTGCTTTGCTAAGCTTGTTCTAAGTAAGTGCTTTAGACCATTGATCCATCTCACCAGCCCCTCACTCTTCACTTTTACTTTCTCAAATAAACTTGGCCATTGTTTAAAAAACAAAAACCCACAATATTTTTAGCAGAACATGCTTCAGCAGAAAAAAAAAAGTCTTCAGAATAAAACTGAACAAGTACATGTTTTATTTAAAATTCAGATCCCTTAGGATAGACATATAGTTACATTCTCTTAATGAATAGAGGGATTTGTTCTAATGGTGTTTGTAAATGGGATATAATGTCCGCATCTTGTACAGCAATTAACCACTAGGAAGAATGTATGCAATGTGTTAATTATTGAAACTGTCCTACCAATTTGGTTTGAAACTGTCTCATTGCTATTTCTCAATAAAATTATGGAAAAAATAAAATAAAAATAAAGATATACAATATAAAAAATAAAATATGAAACTATGAAACATTTGGCATAAAAAAATAAAATAAAATAAAATTCAGATCTTGGGGATTTAGCTCAGTGGCACAGCGCATGCCTGGCAAGATTAAGGTCCCACGTTTGATTCCCAGTACCAAAAATAAATAAATAAAATAAAAATAAAATTCCTAACTAGCAACTCTAATTAGATGGGGGCTCCCCAAAATCAATGGCCTAAGACTCTGCACTCCCATTGTGTCGGGTGCTCCCCAATGGTGGCCCACTCACCCGCTCCTGTCCAAAGGCACTCACCTGTGTTGTAGGCAGTGGGCATAGAAGAGAAGGGGAGGCCCTGGCTGAGTAAACTCGGTGTTGCCACGGAAACCACAGGGGTGGTAAGCGAGTGGGTAGACTGGGAGACCCCAAGGCGCTGGGCATTGTTCTGCAGGAGAAAACTGTCTGTCAGGAGGTAGCAGGTGGGGGCTGACTTGGGCAGGCTCTCCATGCCAAGGCCAGGCTGCAGGGCCTGAATCCCAAGGGTAGGGGAAGCATGTTAGCACAGAGACCCTGTAGACACATGAACACCAGCTGCCCACTTGGAGACACTGAGACCACAAGGAAAAACGTGCTCACTCATACAGGTCCCTTGGCACCCAAATGTGTACAGACAAGGACGCCAGCCAGTAGTGCCATGCTGGGCCTGAGCTCCCAAGCCATGGCCTTCTCCTTTGTCCAGGTCCCCAGAGTCCACCCTGAATCACTGCACCATAGCACACACTCCTGGAGAGGTGTGCATGTGTCTGGGAGGGGACCGTGGGGCCTGACGTGTCATGTGCCTGCGTGTATGCACACACGTGTGTGGGGCTGTCAGCTCCATCTGCCGTTGAGTCACTTGTTTATTCCAACTCCTTGCTGGGGCCGAAACTGCCACTGTGTTGGCCGCCAAAGCCAGCGTGCCTTTTCCAGCCTCTCTGGCCTCCCATCAGGGAGCTGAGGAGGGAGGAGCCGTTGCCCCACTCCTGGCTGAGCGTGTGTGTGCATGTGTGTGTGTATGCATGTGTGTGTGACAGAGAGACAGAGAAAGAGAGGGAGGGAGGGAGGGAGGGGGAGGAGGAGGGAGAGGGAGAGTGAGTGAGTGAGTGAGAGAGAGAGAGAGAGAGAGAGAGAGAGAGAGAGAACGAACTCCACCCTTGGCTTAGGGCTCAGCTTCCCCTGGCAAAGCACCGTTACTGGCTGGCTGGCATCCTTGCTAAGGAGCTCCCTATCCTGGGTTCCAAGAGTGCTATGCAGGCCTCAGTGGAGCTGGAGGACTGGTGAGATCCAAGGCCTCACCTGGGTATCAGGGTTGGGACCTCAGATGGCTTTATTTCTCTGTGCACAGACAGACAGACATACAGATACACACATACACACGCCTGAATGAATGCAACATTACATGAAGACATCCACAAGCACGCAGTACACAGCATGCATGTTCAATCTTCACCACCCCCAGTCACCACAGCATAAGCACAGCTCCTAGCAAATACCCAAGTCAACACCGCACGTGCCACACGCAGGCAGAAGGATAGGAGGACACACGTCATGCTGGGGGACTGCAGAACAGTGGCTGACCCGGAATTCAGAGGCACAGCAAATGTCTCACAGCCTCACTTACCAGATCTAAATGGTCCTCAGTCTGAGAGCAGAAATAAAATCAGGGGGTGGCTCAGTCTCCGGCCTCTACCATCTCCACAGCCACCCACCCAGCTCTGCCCCAGAGCAGGTGCTCTTCCTGGCCAACTGAGTTCTAGAAGACACCACAGCCCACCTCCACTGGGGAGACACCATCACCATCACAAGTTTCTAGTCCCCACCCTCACCCTCCAGTCACTACAATGCAGTCTCTATTATACTCCCAGCATAATGTTCTCCCCACTGTGGTCCCTTTCTACTGCTACTTAGTACTTCCATATTCCAGGTTCTTGACAGGTCTTGGAGAAAGGGTTGTGCTTCCATGGTCTCCCTTGGAGGTGCCAGGCAGGCTGGTACCCCTCTAGCCAGAGGCCTCATCCTTCTCTTGCCCACCCTCCTGTTCTTGGGCCAAGGCCCAGACACTCACCAAGTGGTGCATTAATCCCTTTCCTCCCTGGGAGGTGATGACCCTCAGGTCAGGCTTTCGGCTGGGGGCTCCAAGCTGGGCACTGTGGGTGGGCGGGGGTGGAGACTTGGCAGGGATGACCTTGTTCAGACTGTTGCCATTGGCCACAGGGAGGAGGCCTGGGGAAGCCCGGGCACTAACATAGCCATTCCCTAGAGAGAAAAAGAGATGAGGGAAGGAAAAAAAGTATGGCCACCCCTTCGCCCTGCTAATGTCCCCACATCAATCCCACGCCATCCAGAAGTTTTCAAGTCACTGTGCCTCTGTAGGTGCTCAGTGGTCTGATAGTCCATAAAGCCTTCCTTCCCATCTTGGGCATGAGAGAGGACTCTTGGTCCTACACCACTGGGTGTCTGGCATCCAAGTGACATGAGAGAGGAGCAGTAAGGTGGGGCACTGCAAAGCAACCAGCACCTCTGCCAAGGCAGACAACAGACCTGAGATCAGGCATCGCTCTACGTGCTCTCTGCTTTGTCTCCAGATCTCACAACCTGCGCTAGACAGGATGCACTGTGACAGGGTGGGAAAGGGTGGTAGCCTGGTCACCAGGGCCAACCCCCATCTACTCAGACTGCTCCCGGTGCCATTAGCTGGGGACACTAGTATCTGTATTAGCCTGCAGGAAACAAGCCATTCACTGGTGCTGACAGCGTGGCTGGCACTGGTCAATGGATGACACAGCCACCACCGTAATTAGACCGGTAACAACAGGAATAATAACTATCTTTCACATGTGCTCTACACTACACAATGTCCATAGGCCTCACACACACATATTATCTCATTTAATCCTCACGTTTACCCTGCAAAATGGACAGGACACATATCATTAGCCCTGTTTACGGAAAAGGGGACTCGAGTCCGGCTAGGAGAGGTATGATGACTTATCCAGGGCCACACAGCTAGCTGGAGGGCTCACTCGTGCTCCCCACATGCTGGACTCCCAGTTCCCTCTGCATCACTATTTTTCTGAAGTCCACAAACATTTCTTGGCCCTCTTCTGATGAGAAAGGGGTATTCACACATCCACGAATTTCTTACCCCTAGTATACAACTGCCGCCAGGTGGATCCGTTCCCTAAAAGTATGCTATGGCCCCAGCAGTGTGTGTGGTTGCCTCTATCCCAATTCCCAGATGACTCTAGGAATGGCAGGAATGGCAGGGTGACGTAAATGGTGACATTAGATGTCAGTTACCCTGGCGGACAGTGGCAAGGGCAGGAGGGTCTGTCAACTGCTGGGGCAGAGGGCAAAGGGCAGTCTCTCCTGTGGCTTACGTGCATGCGCTCACAAGTACACATCAAGTACCTGGCTGTTCCTGGAGTACGACAGTGTGCGGGGGCGTGAATGTGGACCTGCTGGTCCTCTAAGCCAGTGCTGAGCCTATGGCATGCATGCCACAGCAGATTTTCCATTATCACTGAGAGCTCTAAAAGGTTTACTGTTGCTGCTCTTGGTGCTCTGATTCTCCAGGTCCCAACCAACTCAACTGGGAACGCCCGATCCACTCACTGCTCCAGAATGAGTCCATCCTCACAGCCTGCCCAGCCCTTGCCAAACTCAGACCTTGGTTGACCACCCACACCAATCACTGCCACCCACCCCAGGAACAAGGGGCTTAGAGATTTGACTCCCCATCTGGGCTGGCCTTGGGACTGTCCTCTCCTCTCCTCTAGGTCCACCTGGCTGAAGGGGCAGCTACACTCACCGACAGGGCTGGGACAGGCTCCATTAGCACTGGTGAGGTCGCCTCCCAGCATGGCTCCTGAGGAAAAGCAGAACTGTCATGAGCTGATGATACCCTACCTTCCCAAGTCTTTTTTTTTTTTTTTTTTTTCCAAGTAAGTCTTTGAAGGTAGAACAGAAAGAGGGGATCCCAAGACCTAGTCTCTTCCTCAGCAGCCACAAAGGCATGGGAATCCTGCGGTGGGTGACTCACTACACAATCCCAGCATCCTTTCTACTCCAGTGGCCCACTCACCTGCACTAGCGGGCCGTTGGGGCAGGCCTGGAGACACGCTGTTCCTCTGTAGTGCTGGCTGCTGGGGGGACAGGAGCCGTGGGTCTGTGAGGGATGATGTCACCAAGGAAGGGGTGACCAGGGAGCCGCTGGGATTGGTGAACTGCAGTGAGCTCTGATTGGACACGGGCACCGTGACAGGCATGGCAAAGTTGGGGGCCGGGACAGCTGACTAGACAGAAAGATAGAGGGGAAAGTCAGGGCTGGTCAGTCCTTGCTCCTGGCCCTACCTTGGAGGGTAGGCAAGGGTTCTTCAGGGTTCTTCACTATGCGTCCTAGAGCCAGCAGCTCAAGTGGGCAGCTCTTGGCCCTCTTGCAGTTCCACTTGCCATTCCCACCAAGGGACAACATTAGAAGGGTGCTCTGGGGTCCAGCTCTGGCCCAGATGCTAAGAACAAGACTCTGTTCACTATAGCAGAACCAGGGACACTCCCTGATTGGGGCAGGTTAGTCCTCAGCCAGGCAGGACACACTGGGAGTGGGTTAGAGGCTAAGTATGGACCTGAATTCACACACACAGCTGTTAAGGCTTGTGCCATGGGTCAGGACCCGGCTCTGCTCGCAATATACTGGCTGGTAGAGTGGGAGCTTGGTCTCTGTTTCATTTAAACAAAGTCCAGCCTTAGGCAGGGTGTTCTCCCCAGGATGACTGCGCTAGAGCACACTCCACCTTCCTGTCCTCCTGAGGTTCTCTATGTGTCACTATATACAACCCCCCCAGCTAATGCTCCATTGAGCTGAGTCTAGGCAAGGGTCATAAGGTCCTCCGTGGGCACTCCCAGCCCCAGCACGGCTCAGAGCAGACACGCATCAGAGGCAGCAGAGGGCCGGGGCGGGGCGCAAAGCCACACCATGCACCACGGGAGGCGCCCTCCACGCGACTACTCACGGCCAGTCTATAACTCTGCATCATTTTATCAAACTCCTCGTCTATCTTTTTATATTTCTCTTCCGTCTGGGGGGTCAGGGCAAACACCTCGTCCACCTCAGGACTCTCACACTCCCTGTGCTTCTTGTGCAGCGCCTGGGGGAGGGGCCAGGAGGGGCCAACAGAGAGACAGTGAGTGAGGCTCACCCCGTAGCGCCGGAAGAGCCCGTCCAGCTCCTCGCTGGCGCGCCGGTACTTGTCCTCCAGCAGGGGGCTCTGTTCCAGCGAGTCCTCCCCATCGGGCTCTGGGCTGTCGCAGCCGTTGAACCCCTTCTTCCTCAGGGTCTGCAACCGCACCACTACCATCAGCCAGTGAGGGTCTTCCCACCCACATTCCCCAGCCCCCAACTTCAGCTCCTCTTTCCCTCCCCCAGGGGCTGGGTGAAGGCTGCTTGGTGCTAGGACGCGAAAATGGAGGGTGTACAGGGGAGCTACTGCCAGCCCAGGAGAGCACTAGGCACATGGTCAGTGATATGGGGAAGGGCTCAGCAAAGGGCACTGTAAGACACCCTTGTTAAGGCCTGACCAGGAAGCTCTCTGGGTTGGGGGTTCTGCCCATCGCAACATATGGACCCCTAAAGGATGAGGAAAAAGAAATGGGGACAGAGATAGAGCAGGAGATGAGATGGAGGAAAGCAAAGACGTCTGCTGCAACCTAAGGCAGTGGTTTGTATGCTCCAGACCCCACAAATACTTGCTTTGTTTTTTAATTTCCTGCAAATCTCTAATCAGCCTATGGCTTCCCAGGCACCCTCTTTATCCACACAAATTCTATCCCCAAGCTGTGTGCACCTTAGAGTGAGATGCAGGAGCCGAGCTGCCTCAAGCCATCCCTGATGGCACTGATCCTATTTTGTGGAAGGAGACACCACGGCTCAAGGATGCCAAACACCTGCCTGATGCCACATGGCCGGTAATGGCCAGAGCTGAATTCCAAAGCTTGTGTCCTTCAACAGTTTACAATGTCAGCTCTCTTCGAAACAGCACATACAGTCACGGAGACCCACAGAGAGACAGAGACAGAGCAGGAAAGATAGAAACAAAGAAGGAGACACAAACCAGATGCAAGAGCAGACCAAAGGCAAAAGGTAGCAAGAAGATTCTTGGAAGAAGATGGGGAAGGGGATTTGGGGTCTTGTAAGGCCTGCAGACAGGACGCAGACTTCCCCAAGGGTGGGTGGGCGGCCCAGGCACTGTGAGACCCTTATGGACCCCTCCCTGCTCCCCAGGCTGGATTTGTGTGAGAGAAGGAGCTACTAGTGAGACCCAGAGGTCGGGGCTATGAGTGCAGGCCCACCTCGATGATGTCTGCATTGGTGCGGCTCTCGTGTGGCTCATTGTACTCGGTGTACTTGAGCAGCACCTTGTCCATGTCGGTGCTGGCATACTGAAACAGCTTGTTAGAGTGGTTGAAGATGATGAGGGCGATCTCACAGTCGCACAGCACGCTCAGCTCATACGCCTTCTTCATCAGCCCGAACTTCCGCTTGGTGAAGGTCACCTGTAGGAGGGCAATGGGCAGCCAGGTCTGGCTTAGGAGCGCTTTCCCAAGAGTGGGGAGTCCCTATTCTCAGGGTGACATGGGAGCTCCTGTTTGGGAAAGGAATGGGCTAGCATCTCCCAGCCAGCACATGGCCAAGACAAAGCCAGAGACAGCCTGTGGAGGGGAAAACATGGGAGATAGCCAGCACTGCACACCTCTGTCCTGGGGATGAGAGAGCAGGCAGGGACAAAAGCAGAGGAGGTCCTGAGGTGAGGACAGGGAAAGATGCATTCTGGGATTGGGGAGCTCCAGGTGTGGCCTGGGTGGGCACATGGTTCCAGAGCTACAGCACAGCTTCCAGTTCTGGGACACAGATTCAGGAGATATAGGGGTGGCAGCTGCTCTTCTCCCAACTCAGACCCTCCTCTTCTAACATAGCCTCCAGAACGCCTCCTCTGCCAGGAAGCCCTCTAGGAAAGCCCTGTCCTCACCACTCTGTGAAGCTCTAGGACTTCCTCACCTGTCTGTTCCGCTCATCGGTGATTCGCTGGATCTGGATCTTTTTCCTCCCCATCTTCTCCAGAGGTCCTCAGTGCTGGGGAGGGGAGGGGCTGTAGGGTGGCAGGTCCTGCTGTACCTCACACTGTGCTCATGAACGTCCAGGACCGATGCTCAGTTCATGGTCTGCAGGACACCGTCTGTATAGCCTCCTGGAACAGAAGGGTCATGAGGGGGCTGTCAGGCCCCGGGAACCCAGCTTTTTGATCCCTGGGACACAAGGCAGACTCACAACACCTTATGAGAGGCTGGCGTATCTTAGCCCACGCTGAGATGGCTACCTACGCAAGGCCATGCTGAGCACTCAGGCTCCTGACCAGAGAGGACATGGAGTTCCTGGCTGCTAATGGTCTGGATCCTAGAGAATGCCCCTAGCCCTGCTCTCTGGAGACTCCCTTCTCTCTGTAGGCTTCCCAGTTGCCCTTCTGGCCTTGGCCAGTGGTTCCTATGCTATAGTCTGGTGTGGCAAGCACAGTGGGTAAACATCTGCCCAGTATGCCAGGTACCAGGGCAGGGGTCTCTAGTAGCTTAGCTTAAGAACACAGCAGATCTTTTGTGACACCAGATCACAAAGTCTGGGGCCTGGAGATACAAGAACCTCATCTCACTGGGTGTGGTGGTGCATGCCTTTAATCCCAGCACTTGGGAGGCTAAGGCAAGAAGACTGCTGGATGGGATAGAGAGATAGCTCTGTGGAATAAGTGCTTCCCTGCCAAGCGCAAGGGCCTGAGTTCAATCCTCGGTTCCGCAAAAAAAAGAAGAAGAAGAAGAAGAAGAAGACTGCTAGGAGTTTGAGGCCAGTCTGAGCTATATAGTTCAAGGCCAGGCTAAACTACATAGTCAGACTCACTCTCTTTCAAAAAAAAGACCCCCATCTCCCTTCAACCAGAGATTTTCCACAATAATTTGTTTTACCTAGCAGTCTTTTTTTTTTTCAATTGGCAGAAGCGGGGATTGAATTCAGGCCCTTGCACTTGCCAGGGAAGCGCTTATTCTACTGAGCTATCTCCCCGGCCCCTTACCTAGCAGTCTTAAGCCTAAAATTTGTTTGAAGAAAGGGCTCTCCTACTTAAACAACTAAACAAACAAACAAGCCACTCTTCTAGGTCAGAAGTAGGCATTTCTTTTTCTTTCTGTGGTGTTGGGGATGGACTCCTGGGTTCCATGCATGCCAGGCCTGTGCTCCATCCCCACCAGGCCACCCCCCAGCCCTAGGAAATTTTTTCTGTAAAGAACCTAAATATTTTAGGCTATAAAGGCCACACTTTCTGCTGCAACTACTCAACTCTGCTACTAGAACACACAAGCTGTAGACAGCAACCCTGATAGGAGTACTAAAATTACTCGTACAAAAAGGGGCACAGTCCCCCTGTGGCCCCACCCTGTCTGAGAGGTCCAGGTCAGGCATGGAGGCCAGGCTGACCGAGCAGTGCTTCTCGAATAGCCAACTGACATACTAGCAAGGGCCCTGGCACCTGACGGTCCGCACTGCAGAACACCCTAACCCACCCTGGCCCACTGGATGAACAGCTGTGTAGGAAACAGCCACTTCCCTGCACTCCAGAGGAAACTGCAGGATGGGAAGGGTACAGGGACAGAGTCAGGAGTGGTGCATGCTCTCAAGTGTGGCCAGGGCCTCTGAGGACTCAAGGGTCCCAGGGCAAGACAAAGATGACCAACCTGATGGCCATTTCAACTTTGTCATTCTGGGAGTCCTTGCATCTAGGATGGAGCTCTCTGGGAAACTGTACAGGAAGGCATGATTCTACCACTACCACCTACTTGTGCTCCTGGAGATTGAACCCTCTGCAGGCTGAGCAAACATCCTACCACTGAACTAATTATTTAACTTTGAGACACTGACTCACTAAGTTGCCCAGGCTAGCCCTGAACTTGTGATCCTCCTCCCTCAGCCTCTTGAGTAGCATTCATCACCATCCCCAGGACTTGCTTCCTAAAGTCACTCTATATGGGTCATGCAAGACATGTGGAACAGCAGAGAAGTCCGGCTCCACCCACTACAGAATTCCTCCTCTATAGAGCAACCCCACAGACCCTACTGCAGAGTGCAGGGAGGAGTGACCTGGGTTCTGTCCACCCTCCTCCTAGCTGGGTGGAGCTATCCAGAGGTGGAGATGACAGAGAACATCCTCCACACGCTGTCATGGCTCTTCAGCTTCTTTGAGTCTCTCTTAGTCCATTCCACATGGAAATCAGCCCAGCATTCTGGCCATCGAAGAAAGAGGTGGAGGAAAGGATCGGAGTGTAGAATTGGCCACTGGACAACTTTGCCCACCTTTCCATCACAGGGCCAGATCCTCATGCTTTCCCAGCCTAGCTGAAGCTATGCCCAGAGAGCTACAGAAAGCAAGGAACTCCTGCCTACTCCTCCAAAGACCCTCTACCATCTGCTCTCCTCAGAGTATGAACCCAGACCCTCTGTCCTCCAGGTGTTCCCTAAGCCCTGGCTTCCTATAGCTCCTACACATAAATCCTGGGGCGGTGGCAGCAGCAGCAGCCCCAGTTAGAACCAGTGCCAGCTGCCCCACTCTTTGCCTATGACCCCCATCTTTGCCAAACTGCTCTGCAAAGACTCCAGGCAGATTTTTCAGTCTCCCACTTAGTATAGTCCAAGACTGTGCTCTCCAGAGCCGTGGCATAGTGGGATGGCAGGGCACTCAAGGGTAAGGGGACCCAGAAGAGCTATACTCGTTCCTCTGGAAGGACTGCACTCATACTGAGGCTCTCCACCCCTATTTTCCCTCACCATCTCTGTTCAGAAGCAGACCTGCAGAGGTGAACCCTGATCCATTACAATCAGTACCATCACTTCTTCCACACTAAGAACCCTCCCTCTTGTTCTCATGATGCTCCAAAAAGCCACTCTTGTGATGTAAATAATTATAATTCTGTTTTTCTATTTTATGCTAGCTCCTCTATGAGACCAAAACTTGATGAGGGCAGGAATTATATCTCTTTTCCATTATTCTATCCTCTGACAGGAGCTCAAGGGTAGTCTGCAAAAAGAAAAGATGGTTTCACTGTTCAGAGCCCTGTGGGTTCTTCTTATAGTCTAACCTCTGTCAGGCCTGCTGTGACATAAGTTCCTCTGTACTTCATGTGACCAGAACCCTCCCTCATCCAGCTTCCCTTGAAGCTTGTCTGTCTGGACACCACCCACTCTCCCACCACCCCTGCCATCCATTCAACCCTCCCCACCCTCCGCTTGGCTGGTGCACAGGGTGAGACTCTAAAGTCTTCTAAGGAGCAGCCCTAAGCACATGGAGATAGAGAGGATGAAGTTGCTTAGGCAACTGTCGCCTGGCAACCAGCTCCCTAGCTGATCTCCTACACCGCCCCCCCCACCCCCGCCTCATGCTGGGGGAGCTGGGATGCGAGAGGGATCAGGGCTGAGAAGGCAGGGAAGCCACAGAGACCCACTGAGAATCTGCTGGTAGAAGGAAGCCAGGGCTGAAAACACCAGGCCCCATCTATCCCCACTTCCTCCAAGAGAGCGCAAAGTACTTTTTATAATTCCACGTTTCCCAGAGTCCTTTCCCTGTCGCTGACCCCCACCCTGTGTGAACACCACCAGAGGGGATGTCCTAGCGAACCACAGCCTCCTACAAAGCAGGTACAGTCTGTACCACCTCTTTACCCACAGCTATCCATTCCATACTGCTTTAGGTTCTTTGGAGCCCTGGGGCAAGAACATGAACTCAACCATGACTTTGGATAAAAGATGGTTAGCTTAGGCCCAGATGGGCACTGAGGACCCTAACCTGACCCTATCCAATGTGTGGAGGTCTATCCCACCCAAGTTTCCCTCCTACCTCATCAGAGAGATTTTAATGAACACCTGGACCTCCTTAATTAGCCCTCTGCCTAATTACCTAGCCAGCTGCCAGGAGCCAGAGGCCTGGGCATCTGTTCTCCAGATGTGCACTCTCCATCCCAGCCTGGCCTGACCCTATTCCTCATGTCCTCTTCTCCTGTCTCTGCCTCTAAGCAGCCTTCTCCAGAATCAGGCCTTTGGCTGCTTCTCCTCTAACTGTTTCTCCTTCACTCTGCCTGGTATCCACAGTCCTGTGCTTGAAGGACTTGAACTGTAAAAGAAACAGCTTCAGTTCTGATGGCCCCAGGACCTGTCCCCTCCCAACCTCAGGCCACAGCCATGACTCCTGCAGCTGGCACCATCCTGTTTCACACAAGCACTCCTCAAAGCCTTCCTAGACTGGGCAAAGCTAGGCAGGACACGTCTCCTGGGACCTGGTGGGACAAGCCAGGCCTTTCTGATGGAGGAGCAGGAGAAGCATGGGGAGAAGGTAGGTGGACTGGGCCCAAGTCTGAGGGGAAGGGCAGCTGCAGGAAAGTCTTACAAACAGAACAAGAGGGGCTGGCAAGAGCAGGACAAGGCCAGCTAGCTGAAGACACCAGAATGTGCATGGGATACAGAAGGACCCCACTGGCAGCTATTTTTCAAACTGGGCTACAGACCCAATAGGAATTATGGGTTGCTTATTATGTAAATCATGTACAAATGAAATGCAAAAGGAACCCTAAAAGAGGACCGGTTTGGAGGGGGCATGGGAGAAGAAACAGGCCCTGGCCTCCCTAGTGTAACACCTCTTGGTACCTGAGCAATATTCAAACCACTCTCAGGTTTCAAAATGATGCTATCTCAGTTCCTGTGTGAGGGTGGCCTGGGCGGTGGGGGACAGTCAGGGCAGCCCCCTGGAGCCACAGCTGCAGCAGGCTGAGTGGGGCTGTTCTTCCTGGGGGCCTGCAGGAGGCCTGCTTTCCAGCACCCAGCTCCATGTACACCTCTGCTTCTGCTTCTCCCTAACAGTTTTCCAGCCCTATTGGCCTTCTGATCCCAAGGGGCTGGAGCTCTCAGAGGAACTGCAGGGCATCTCCCTGCAAAGTTCTACTGCAATGTTGGTCAATGCGGAGCAGATGCCCAGAGAGGCTGAGTGGACACCCGGCATCACAGAGCAATGGGTCTCAATGTGCTCCTTCCCCGTGAGAAAGGGAGCTCTCATTAGGCGGCCTTCATCATTCCCTCCTAGGCTGCTCCAGGCTGCCGGCTGTGGACTGGAGGGGAAGGCAGGAGGCGCTGGAGACAGCTGTCATCCCTCCTCCCGCCCCTTCC